GTAAGTTTACAGCTTGTTTAGATGTGGTAATAGTTGTTTTGTGGCTGACTTGACTCAGCTTACTGACTATACAACCTTGTCTGTACAGAATTTACTGTGTATATTTGCAACAGGAATACCATCTCTATTTATCTCCCCCTTTTTTTGTCCCCCTTTTCTCTCATTAATTACAAACAAGAAAAAATAGTTTTAATGTACGCGTGTTAAGACAAAATCAGTAACAAAATAGATAACCTAATTAATAAATAAATTGTAAATCAATGTAGCCATTTAAAGTAAGAGCTTGAGGTCATGTCTCGAGTCTCTGCGCTATCTAGAGCCAGAAGGCAATTAGCTTAACTGAGCATAAAGACTGCCAGCAGGGGGAAAAGCTAGCCTGACTCTGTCCAAATTAGGGTTGGGCGTTATGTTAAAATTTTCCAACCGGCCATCATCAGTCCAGCATTTGGCAATTGCAGGTATATTTGTGTGTGCTGCGAAAAAAAAACCCTAGTCCAGATGAGGAGAAAATAAGGAGAACATTTGTGAAAATGGGGGACTGTGGGGAGCCAAAGTATAGGCCGCTGTAAAGGTTTTTAATGATGAGTTGCGCAGGGTGTGCATAATAAACATGTATGTCTATGATAATAAAAACAATTGGCTTCAATTCAGTGGTTCTGTTGAGGAGAGGTAGATAAAGTTTTTTCCAGCCTTGTATTCAACAGAAAGCTGTCACTGCTCTCATTAGTGGTAACATGCTCTGCCACTACTTCTTCTAAACCACGTCTTTCACTTTCACATCGTCCTCGCTTAGAGCTCTGCTCAGCCAACCAGCATTCCTGGACTCACTCAACAATGGTATGTGGTCTGTGTTTGGCCAAGCTGCCATACCACTCAGGACCAAGCAGAGCTGAGGACATTTATCATCACACCTCAGTGGTCAGCTCAATTATGGCTTTCACCTTTGATAGCGAACAGGGACTGACCAATAACCTCCTTTTGTTTTGAAAGGCCAGACGAGATGAAAAGACGCTGTATTACCCACTTTATTTCATCTTTTCTGTTTCACCACTGTTTGCTTCTTTATGTTTAAAGATGTTGAAATGGTTCCATCTGTATAATTAGAAGGAATTTTTAAGGAATCTTTTCTAGCTTGTCAAAAGAAAATTCTAAGAAGTGGATTTGATTATCAGAACAGGATTGTCCCAAAAGAAAAAATGTAATCCACGCAAATCCAAAGCTTTGAAGGCTGTCTCTTTTACATGGAATGGAAGAAATTTACTCTGTTTCTTCACCACATCTTCCCCAGCATTGTTTCATGAAGGAATTTCTGAGAGTGCACGAGAGGCCGCTCAACCACACATATGGCCTCGGTGGATGTAGACCGACAGATGGCAGCCACAGGATTAGGGTTCTGCAGATTGTAGAGGTGTGAATTATGTAATCTGCAAACTGGTGTGTGTGTGTGTGTGTGTGTGTGTGTGTGTGTCTGTGTGTGTCTGTGTGTGTGTGTGTGTGTGTGTGTGTGTGTGTGTGTGTGTTTTGAGGTCGGTATTTGGCCGTGGCTTGTGCACAGATAGCTGCCAGGCTTTGGCACTGTGGATTTTCAGGCTAAGAGATGAAATGCTGAAAGCCCCCTGGGGTAGCAGGGCGCACAGGGTGATCGGGTTCACCAGCGTTCACCTGCTCTGCCACTGTGGTCAGTGTCAACTGAGAAAGATTAGAGAAAGAGACGTGTGTGTGTCTGTGTGTGTGCGCGCTTTCTTTCTTCCTCTGTGTTCTTAAAGAGTTGATAGATAACAGACAGCACATCCATTGTTTGCCTAGGTGTAGTTTCTCCTCTGCTCTGCTGTAGACTTAAAACTAGGATCCAACCACGGCTGTTTGGGAATGGACAGGAAACCCCACTCATTCCTCCTCTCTCTCTGTTGCGTCATTCAGCCTCTGGAATGATCGTATTATGGTGAACTGTGCACATTTCAAATTACCCTGAGAGCTAGCCCACCTACTTGGTAAACTTTCATCATTCTCTGTGCAGCCCCCTAATGTCTCTAATATACTACTCATACGCTGCTAACTGTAAGCAGATAACCTTTTTATGCATTTTAAATGGCTGCTTTGACTGCACTGATCTGGATGTTTTTGATGTTGAAACTACAGTAGATGAACTCGCTGACACTGACATCTCATATCAGCTTTTGTGAGGATATGTGTGTGCTGACCAATCGTTCAAAAACAAAGACCTCAAGCAGTCAAATGCTCATTAGTGTCAAGTGTCTGAAGAACTGCTGACAGTTCATTGAGCTATACTATACTTCATCCACACTTGTTACTTTCTCCTAATCCCAATTGACATGTTATCCAGTCCAGCACACACCTCACACTTCACCACACAGGCGCACAGCTGGATGGCAGACCTTTTCATTTGATGCCTGGAAGTGCTCAAGGCGCTAAGCAATCAGGAAAAAAAAAAAAAACAGAGAAAAAAAAAAGGGAAAACATCTTGACACCGACTCGCCACACTGATGAAAGCCTGTCTGCATGAACCTCAGCCTGTAATTGAAGAGCAACCTAATTACCAACCTTACTTTGTGAGAAGTGGCATGTGATAGTGCTCTTACAGAGCTGCTTTGCTGCTAAGTTCTGCTTCACTAAATTACCTCAGAAAAACTTAATTTTATACATTCTTATGGACTGGTTTTTGTTCCTTTCTCCCTCCTGTAGACAGTGAATTGGTCCTGTGAGAGTACTATTATTTTGCCTCATGAATAACAACCAAGGGAATTATAGGAACATCTCATACTTTGGATAATTGCACTGTTCTAGTGTTTCTGACCATAGTGTTTTGTCATGAAAGTTCAAATCATTTAGTAATTATCATAAGATAGACCATGTAAACATAGTGTTTATCGATAAAACAGTGGAGATTAAGGGTATTTGGAAGCACAGAGAGTAAACAACTGAATACTAGGGTGTACCATGGTTGACACTGTACGTTGGGTGACAGTTTTAGTAGATGGCTTACCAACTGAGCTCCTTCCAAATGTCAAAACTACTATTTGCCAGTGGGTTTCTTCAAAGATAAAAGGGGAGAGGAGATGAAAGAATGGCCTGCCCTTTTTCTTTCTTATTTTTTATCAACCATGTCACACACAGTTTGAAATTGGCGAGACACAAATACTTTACTTTGCTCAGATAACTGTGAATGCCCACGTTGTGTGAATCACAAGGTATTGGAAGGTCTTTGAAGGCAGAGCTAGTGTGCGGTTCTGTTATCTGTTACAAGGAAGGTAGAGGAATGTACAAAAAGGACAAACAGTAAGATGTTATAATGAATTGCATCTAAGTTTATATTTTCCTTCACTTTGCTAGGTTCATACAAGGTATATTACCACATGTACATTTATGTAAACACTGAATCAAATAACTCAGTGTAACCCATCTCCGAATCTTTGTATAGCTTTTAGCCTCTTTTAGCTAATTGTTTTGGTTATCTTGCACATAGACTTTATGGCTGAGTATATATTTTGTCTTTAATTTCAACACATATCTTATAGATCCATTTTTACTCCCTCAGTTCCAATTTGTTTTTTGTTTTATAAACACTTTTTCTTCAAGTATGTCCTATTTGAAATTCTGTGGTGGGTGGCTTTATTGACAGGACAGTAGAGAGATACAGGCAGGGGAGAGAGAGAGGGAGAGAGAGAGGGAGAGAGAGAGAGAGAGGGAGAGAGAGAGGGAGAGAGAGAGAGAGGATGACATTTCAGCAAATGGCCTTTGGCCGGACTCAAAACCCGACCGCTGTGGTAAGGACTCAGTCTTGACATGTGGTATGTGCTCTGCTTGGTAGTGAGCAACTGGGGTGTTCTTTTTGTTCCATTTATGTGAAACGTGCAGAGATAATATGAAATCGACTGCTTACCTGACTGCTTATCAATGAAAACCTACTTTTCTTTCAAATGTATAACCACTAAGGTTTTACCTGCTAAATTACTGTCGTTGCTGCTTTTTAATCCTTTCTTTACTAATGTGGCAGGAGGAAAGAGACTGGCATTGTGAATTGGTTGCTAAGAGCTTCCTCTTCCTGAGTCTTGGTGTTTTTGGTGTATTATAATAGATTAAGCTGTTCATGTGTGACTAACAATATGTGTTTGCTACTGTGCCTTCAGCCTCTGTTGGTGGAGCTGGTGGCCTGAGGGAGACTAGGATAAACAATATTAGGATGGCACTAAGCGGAAATAATGTCCATACAAGCGGGGTGGGGGGTTCGAGGGGATATAGGAGAAACACAGTGTGGCAATGTGGATGTTATATAAGCTGAAATGTCTGATCTCATTGGTCATCTAGTTCACCACACGTCCCCAACCGCTGTCGCTGTATGATTTACCATAAAGATAATACGAAAAAAGTGACTCATTGTGTTTACACAATATGAGGTGTAAATGTTCTTATTGCTGAATTTTAGTCGTGACTACCTTTGATTGTGACTTTGAGTGACCCAACAATCACATTTGTGTGTTTCGCCTTTGAATTTTTGGGAAAAAATGGTTCATGTCTCTCTTTTTTTTCTGGCTTTATGCCTTTAATGGATAGTGACAGCCGAAGGTAGACAAGAAAGTGGGGAGGAAGGGAGAGAGGGGATGACACACAGCAAAGGGCGACAGACAGGAATCAAACCCAAGTTGCTGCACTTAGCCTTGGTTCATGGGGTGCACGCTTTACCGGTGAGCTACTGGGGCGTCCCTATTGTCACCTTTTTAATGTTAAATATGTAGATAATTTATATTTAGTCACTGTGCCTCCATTAAGGCAGATTAAAAGTCATGAAAGACCAACATTATGCAAGCACCGCCTACATACAGGAAGCTATTAGAGACATTTAATTAGCCACAGTACAGGCAGGACAGCCTGCCTAGCTTTTTGAACTGTAAAAAGCCATAGTCGTTTTTGTTTAGGGAAAAATGGATTTGTTGTGCCCACTTGATATACCAATTGAGCTTTGTTCCCTTCTGTTTTTTTAGATCAAAAGTGGTAAAACGGAGAAGGATTGTCAGCAGCTGCTGCTGAAGAGCCTGCAGTACCTGGAGCGCTACATTTACCTCATCCTCTTCAACACATACCTGCATCTAGAGAAGAAAAACTCCTGGCAGCGCTCCTTCACTCTCTGGATGGAACAGGTACAGTATCTGTGCCCCACTTAAACTGTTTTCTAATCTCTTCTATCTCACTTTGATATTAATAGACATATGCATTTTATTTGAATTCCTATTTCTGACAAATAAAATAGAATATAGGAAATGTGATTGATAACTGAGCAGGACACAAAATAGAAAATAATCTATTAAACAACTAAAATGAATTGGCTTGTGTCACAATTAGAATTCTATGAGGTGGATATATCAAGTTAATGCTGCTGGTATTGAGTCCTTCCTTGAAATATCCTTGGAAAAATAGCAGAAAAGCTGTGCAAACTAAGCCATCTGCATGTTGAAGTCAGCATTGCCTTCCGGCACTAGAGAAGGGTGAAAAGACTTGTTGGTGGCCTCGGAGACTAATTTGCACTTTGTCATTTGCCACTCTTCATGTGTAAGATTTGCTGGTTATTGCAGTTTCATAATGTAGCAGGGGAACAAATCTATAATTCCCACAATCCCATGTGTCAATAACTTGGCGGAAGAAGAAAGATGAGGGGAAGATTTTTTTATTTTTTTTTTCACAGTTTGTGCACATTGTAAACTGGTTACCAGAGTTTCATTTTGGTTTTCCTCCAGGAATTTACAAGCTGGTTCTGGTTCTATTGTGGCCTGGTTCTTCACACACTGAACTTCATAATGTCTCGGCTCTGTGTTTTTGTTGGTACATTAATCGTTTGGCCAGCTGTGCCCCTACAGTAAAGTCGAGAATTTATGTGCATTCCAAACAAATGAGTAGTCTGTAAGTGGTACCCAACACACCCTCACACACACACACACACACACACACACACACACACACACACACACTGCAATTAAAATGTATGTTGCAATATGGTTGGTAATATGGTGGTAAAAAATAAGTAGTTTGGCAGGTTGACAATACACATTCAGTGTGATCAGTTAGCTGCAGCTCACAAAGTATTTAAAATACAAAGTATTTTAAAATACAAAGTATTTTAAATGTAAACAAATTAAAAATCTGCAATACATATAGTTTCATTTACATTTCTATGCATTTGGTTTTAATTAATAAGTGTTAGCTGTCTGGTTGTTATCTTAACTTTTGCACCGAGGCTTGGCAAAACCTCTTTTTTAAATAGAATTAGCATATTTCCACCGCAGAGCAACCATCAGCAGCAACTTAACAATATGTTTTTTCTTTAGGCTGAATGATGTGGTTTTTCAGGTTTGTAATCTCAAAGTTTCAGATTGGGGTGTCTAAATGCATACAAACAAGTGCACTTTGCAGCCATTTTCTCTTCTTATTTGTGAGCAGACGGCCTGGAGAAACACGGCCAATAGCCTGGACTGTTTGAATTAAAATCTCTTCCTTCTTTTCCCTTATTGAGGTGGAATAAACTCAAAGAAAAAGCGCGGAATTCCAAAATAGACTGGAACAATAGCTGTGCAAACAATTGTCACAGAACTATACGCGGTCAATCGGGTCATATTCTTCCTGTTATGAATAGCAAATATATGTGGTGCATCAGAGTGACTCTAATGGCCCAGTTATGCCATGAGAAAATACAAGCTTGCACACAGGGAACGGGAACGCTCTGCTGTAAAGCAGGCAATAGAAACACTTGACATAATGGAATATCTATGTATTTTATCATCTAGGTAGCCTTCTGTTTTTGTTATTCCTTTCTGTCTTTGTTCTGTTCTTCCTATTGAAACTGCCTTTGTATGAGCAGTGTTAAACAGCAGTCTGGTCTGGTCTCATCACTATGTTTTCCAGCTAGTCACTAACTGCGTCTTTTCTGTCATTTGGTGCTGAGTAGGTGGTGTACAATGGGTTTTTAGAGCTGAAAACAGCTGCCTCCTGCGGCTCAAAATGCTGCTGTGTGAAACAGAACGGTAGAGTTGCGGCCGGAAAGCTCAACAATGAATTGAAACCTCAGCTACAGATTCGGGTGATAATTCTTTTGTAGGTTAATAATTTACAGAGTCTACAATACAGCAATAGTGATGCTTGCACGCACTGCAGTCAATCCATAGACTAGGCGTGCTGGTTCAGAAAAATTTACATTGGCGGATACACAACACAAATGCGGGTGGGTGACATAGATTGAAGTATCTCCACATTAAGAGACACACTGTGCGCGTTTACGCACAGAGCACAGCATCGTAAATTCATTGATTATTTAAATTACCTGACATGCCAACAGGATCAGTCCGGGTTTAATATTAATTAAATGCATATTATTTAAATTATTGATTTAATTTAAGTGGATGTCGCCACTCCCCTCTCTTCTGTCAAGTTTATAACTACAGTTGCTGCTTAAATGTCCCACAATATTTGCTGTAGTGATATAACACTCATGGAAACTACAATTACTGAAAGCAGCCTCTCTAATAATTAAAGTGAATCATCAAAGAAAACACTCATCAATACAACACAGAATGAAGCACCTGGAAAGCTTGTGCTGCATAATTTAATACAAGGATTCAGATTAACTCAGCGCTGATCTGCGCCTCACTAGTATACAAAAATGCACTTCACTGTCATCAAGAAATAGCTTTTTATGAGCAATACATTCATCATGAAAGAAGGTTCAGTCAGCCGCAAAAGTCATTTACTCGATAGGAATCTCAGTTGAGATGTAGTGAAAGTATTTATAGTACTAAATTGCTCTTATTGTGCCTGTTCTGCCCTTTAGATCATAAGTCAGCCACTTCCAGCACATTTTGTTGTGCAGCCATTAATTCAGAAAATCCAGACCCCTCACCTCTGATCTTCTTCTTTGATAAACACACTTCTTCCATAGAATCCTCCCAGCTCATACTGCTACCATTTCAGTGTTCTTTAATATATGTAAGCGAGTAGTGCCAATATAGTATTGTCAAGCCGCATTGTTCTTTATACAGTCTCTTCAGGTTCAGCAGTTAAAGACCTCATTTTAAAAGCTAATTACACAATTCATTTCCAGGCTGAAATGATCATAATAGCCAAGTTTTATCAGTGCAAATGCATAATTATATGGCTGCTAAGTATGAATAATATTCATAATTATCAGTCTGCTAAATATGCACCATGGAACCTCAGTGGTGAATTTCGTCTCTGGCAATTCTCTTGCATTACCTGGAACACCTTGGGTCATGTCTGAGCTAGATGACAAAAATGACCCAGCATGTACCTCAGACATGTCGGTGCAGTCTACCCTCACCTCCCTGGCCACCGGGAATGTCTGGGGAGAAACAGATACCCAGGTCTGGAAATCACTGACATCCATCAACTGGACTGAGCGCATCGTTCAGGTGACACCATAATATATCAAATGAGCCATTTTCTTCAGTGGAACAGACTGAAATCAAGAAATGATGCTATTTAAAGTCTGGCGGCTTTAACCAGAGCATTAGACTACACCTGCATCAAAGCACTGTTTCACTGCTGAAATGGTAAACAAAATTGTGCTGTTAATGTGGGATGCATAGTGCATTCTCATGTAAGAGCTGGTATTCAAATAGTAGCCTGTCCATGGCCAGCCTGAACAAAACAATAAAAGCTAAGTAGAAAACATATTTACGGGGTTGAAATTAACTGTGGCCTTCTCCAACCATACACATAGTAAATTTACTTAATTTACTTTATGTCCATTTCCATAGCAGTAATTCTATCATTACAACAACAGAGTAATGTGGTACTTACTATAATTTTAATTGATTCTGTTAAAAAAGAGAAACTCAGAGCAGAAAAAGCCTACAGATAAAAGGAAGGTTTCAAGACTTTTAATGTGAAAACTCTGGAGAAGGTGTTGCATTTTATCCATGGTAGCTTAAAATTGTTAAGGGGAAAAGACAAAGTAGAACACCTGACATGACTCTTGATGTACTGATGGAATTAGTGTTGTGGGGAATGGACAGTACACTGAATTTATCAAGACAGCAGGTAAACACTGAGGACATTTTGAGTCTGCATTAACTGGAGAACAGGGGGACAATGGAAATAAAGCCCCGGTTCTCTCTGTCACTGAGGTAAATTAATGACCACTATTTAAGAATTAACCTTATTTTCAGAAAATAGTTTCTCTGTGCCCTCTGGTTGTCCCTGGTCCTATGGTGGTGCTAGAGACTTGTGGCATATTCACTTTCTCCACTAGCTGAAAGGAAGTATTTTATAATTAACAGCTGACTAGCCTGCTGATAAGCCCTGGCCACATGCTATGGCTGGTGACACCTCAGACCATCTCTATCATCAGACACAGTGCAGTGTGGATGTGCCCCCAAACCTGCTGGGGCTGTATAGAGATAGAAAGATATAAAATCACATTACTATCTTACTTCTGGTAGAAGCTTTGGATGGAGCTGCCACTTGAATTAAATCCAACTCCCTTGATGATTAGACACTACCTGTAGCTTACGAAATGTAAAGTAGGATGATTTTTATATTCTGATTGTCAGTGAACGCTAACCTGACTGCGCCAGTTGCTTTGTTACACGGAAACACCTGGGAAGTCATCGTTGGAAACTGTTACAAAAAATACCAGGCAGGGGATTGTGTGAATTATATGTCTAATACCACTGGCGTGCTTCAACCAGTCGGATCAAAGAACCATGTAACATAACGCAAGACAACTGAAAACATCTTTTCCATTGAGAAAAGCCCTACTCTCCAATTCTGATTCTGCCCACTCCAGTACATGTTAATACTTCCTCAAAGGGCACTAATTGGTCCGGTACCACTGTACAGGCCAGTGGCTACAAACACATTGATTAAAGCCTGGCAAGATAGATTCTTGCATGATTTCATAAAGTTGCGAGTCCGGTTGCCTCGCAAGGTTAAGTGAATGCTGGTAGACGTCCGAACCTGCAGCACTGACTCCATCAATAATTTCTTACTGGAGACTTTTTCTTGGTCCTTTTCACTCTGCAGCTGACATCTTCATATTGCCACCATATACCGTATGTGATTGACAGTAAGAAAGTAGTGTGTGACAGCGACTTGAGGTGACATTTGATAAAGGTCGCTGGCTTCTATTCAG